TTTTTTCAACGTTTATTTATTTTTGGGACAGAGAGAGACAGAGCATGAACGGGGGAGGGGCAGAGAGAGAGGGAGACACAGAATCGGAAACAGGCTCCAGGCTCTGAGCCATCAGCCCAGGGCCCGACGCGGGGCTCGAACTCACGGACCGCGAGATCGTGACCTGGCTGAAGTCGGACGCTCAACCGACTGCGCCACCCAGGCGCCCCACGAAATATTTTTAATAAAGATGTTTAAAAGTGATGATAACATTTCCTTACAATTCTGGACTGTACATTCTTGGATACCCTTTCTTTAACCAACCATCGTGGTCTCTGATTCTAATCTTTCCGTGATATATTTTCCCAAATCTGAGTCTGTGATAGCCTTTCAGTCCTACTGACTGAGGAATTAAATCATATCATTGTTTGCTGAAGGACACGTGTAGGAGGATCAGAAATGCAAATACATTTAAAATATCTCTTCTCAAGGTTCTTAGCAAGGAGGAGAGGCAAATCTCATGTATATGTGGGTATCCTTATATGAACTTTGAATGAGTTTTTTCATTTAGTTTTTGGAACCTAGTTCAAAAAGAATAAATACATTAAAGTAACTTATAAAGACTAACCCAAGTACATTGATTGAACAAAAAGTGTACAGTTAAAAGCAAATTATGTAAGAATATAGGGGGGTAGCATCTACCCCCAGCTAAAATAAGGGTTTTATTTTCAAGCCTGCTTTACTTTTTTTTTTTTTTTTTTTTTTTTTTTTTTTTTTTTTTTTGCCTAAAGAAAACTGTTTCTCATGTTACAAAATTTCTTTGTTACATTTTGAAATTCATTTGAATATGCCTAAAGAAAATATAACATTAATTGAATGTTACAGTTTTTAGCACTTATATTATAGTTACATTTCTCTCATCTCTTCATAGCCAAATTAAAATTTTTTTGGAAATCTCTATCCTTTTGTGAGGTACGTCCCAACACTTAAGGATAGAAGTCTTCAAAGTTTTTGATCACACACTGACCCCATCAGTAAAAAGCTTTTGAGCATATACCTTCAATACATATGTGTGTTTATTTGTAAGATGTATGTATACCACTATTACTATATTATGAAACACACAAAAGTAAGATTTTGGGAAGGACAAGATAATGGTAAATAATAATTCTAACGTTATACTTAACTAGGGCTAAAAGTTTTTTGTTCCTCAAAACAACGTGATAAAATATTTTTTTAAGGGTTATGGCTTAATATTTTGAAGGTGTGGCTTTCAAGTTTAATTTATATTAATCCTTAGTTTTAGTGGCTGCCATAACTTAAAGATATAGCTAACAAGGTATGTAAGTTCAGATGGAAGAAGTGCATGATTACCCTTATTAAATCATGATTCCATTTTCAGCTATAAATTTCTGTCTTCTTTGATATAAATAATTTGTTCTTATAAATCAGAATATTTTTACATAATTAACAATGAGTTAAAAAGTCTGAGTTTAGAAGATTTTAATTTTAGGTTAGAAAATTTTGTTTCTGAGTATGACTTAGAGAACTAGATTTTTAGCAACAAAATCACATAAAAATGGTAATATATCCAAACATCCACCTTCTAGAGGCTCCCTAAATTGTATAGATTTCTTTGAATAGATACATTCTTGCTCACTTTTTTAAATGTCACCTTTACCTTGAAGAAAAAAAGTTGAGAGTCTGTGTCTGATCCTTTCTAAAAATAAGTATTAGGTTAGCATATTACCGACATCACAGAAGGATAAGCAAACTTGAAACCTCACTTTTTGTACAAGAAAAATTAATAACTCCTATTTCTTCTAAGTAGTTTACCACAAGATACCCAACAAATCTTTTTATAGCAGAAAGGATTGTTGTGGTCAATTTCTATGTGGTGCCAATTATTCTAATATATTATTAGATCTTGTTTTTATCCAAGTTTTGAGTGTGTAATATCTGGTAGGACTTGGTGCACATCTGGCTTCAACTTCTGTGCTTTGGTTTGGCTTTGAAAAATGGTGGCGTTTCTATTTGGCTTTTAAAAAGCTACAGTACTTAGCTCTTTAAAAAATTTTGCGCAAATGGAAAGTGGAAATGTGAGTGCAATTTAGTGGACTGGTTTTGCTTATTATTAAACTTCTCTAAATAAAATTTCTGTTTTAGGTTCAATTCCAGAAGGTGTCCTAGAGGACATTAAAGGTAAACTCAGTTCCCACTTTTGTCCCTTTTATCCTTAAGTATTAGTTTAGAGGGCATGTGTTTCTAAATATTTACAGATGTACAACATATATTCAATTGATAATGTAATATCCTAAAAGTATTTAATATACAGGATAAGCTATGTGATAATGTAAATAAAATGTTTATTTTCCTTTAGATTTATGGAAGCTTTTGCCATTATTTATGATGTCTTATTGAAGAAACTACAATTATAGAGTATACAGTAATTCCAGGGAATTAATAGTTTGCACAGTATGAATAAACTGCTTAAGAAAGCCACTGGTTTTATGTTGTATAGAATTTTTTTTTACTCTAGTTTTTAAATACATATATACAAGGTTAATCATTTTACTGACTTTAGAAGTTCTATATTTGGGGCCAAAATATATTGGATTCACTTTTTTTTTTTTAATTTTTAATGTTTATTTTTAGTTTTGAGAGAGAGAGAGAGAGCGCGCTCATGCGCGGGCACAAGTGGGGGAGGGGCAGAGAGAGAGGGAGACACAGAATCTGAAGCAGGCTCCAGGCTCTGAGCTGTCAGCACAGAGCCCAACTTGGGGCTCGAACCCACGAACTGTGAGATCATGACCTGAGCCGGAGTTGGACGCTTAACCAGCTAAACCATGCAGGCAACCTTGGAGTTGCTTTAAAAAGATATATTACTTCTTTGCTAGAGTGTATTTTTATGATAATGTTTAAATTGAGTTTTCTGGTATTTTGATTCACTGAAAGGAAAAGCATTTAAAACATAATTTCATATTCTTCAGTACTGACAATGTCATGTAAAATTCATAAGAGAGAATCAGACAATAATGGATTTTAGAATTAAATGAGACCTGAAGATAATCTGGTGTGGTTGGGCCCTGAAATATTAAGTGATTTGTTCAGTGTAATACTGTAGGTAGGGTTAGAGCTGGAGCTGAAAGGTGGATCTTGTTCTTCGTTATGTTGTTTACTTATGTGATATAATTACCTAAAATTTCTTCACTTATTGTAATACCTGAGTTTTACAATATGTAGATACTTATCTTGCTTTGATATTTATGAGGACTTGAATAAAATAGATAATACCTGAGTAACTTGAGCACCTAGCTTACTATTAGCATATTAGTATATTGTAGATTCTCAATATGTTTTAACGAATAAAAAGACTCTTATTAGGATACATATATTTAACGTGTTTTGCAAGTAATTAACCAAGTCATTAGATTTTTCACATTTAACATTAATTTCGTTTCTAGTTAAACATTTTTTATTCCTTACCTTCTGAAACTATTTTGAAGCAGCTTGTTATAAAAGGTACTTTGCAACTCAAATAATTTTTGACAGAATAAATGTTCAAAGTGAAAAAAAAAAAGTGGGATAGTAGAGGGAAAATGGTAGTGTTGGGGTATGCTAGAGGTAGAAAATAATATGCCAAAAAACCCTAAACTCAGGGAGCCTTACTGCGGCTAAGAGCAAAATTTAGCCTTGCGTTCGTTCTGACCACGATTTTTATTTTATTTTTATTTTTTATTTTTTTAGAGAGAAAAGAGTGCATGCAAACAGGGGAGAGGGGCAGACGAAGAGAGAGAGTATCTTAAGCAGGCTCCGCACTGAGCATGGAGCCTGACACAGGGTTTGATCCATGACCCTGGGCTCATGACCTGAGCCAAAATCAAGAGTTGGACCTTCAACCAACTGAGCTATTCAGGCAACCCTGGCCAACCAAGATTTTTAAAAAGAATCAAATAGATAGTTAAGATTAGGGATAGCAGGGGCGCCTGGGTGGTGCAGTCGGTTAAGCGTCCGACTTCAGCCAGGTCACGATCTCGCGGTCCGTGAGTTCGAGCCCCGCGTCAGGCTCTGGGCTGATGGCTCGGAGCCTGGAGCCTGTTTCCGATTCTGTGTCTCCCTCTCTCTCTGCCCCTCCCCCGTTCATGCTCTGTTTCTCTCTGTCCCAAAAATAAATAAAAAACGTTGAAAAAAAATTTAAAAAAAAGATTAGGGATAGCAGTGGTTCAAAGGAACATGGTACTCAGAATAGCTACATATTCATAATACTAAATTTTATTATGGTACTCTTTATGCCAGGAATATAAAAAATATAGTTTTCTCAGAGGTATTTTATTTTTAATGTGGTTTTATGAAAGATGAGCACACAACATATCTTATTCCTCAGTGAATGAAAAAGTTTTTTATTTGTGAATAAATTCTCATAACCAAACTAAAGGCAGAGATAGTTTGTAAAATCTGAAGGAATAGCTGACCAGTATGTCCACTTGAATAGAATTGTTTTAACTGGGACAGAGATCGATTCAATCACAAACCATAACAAAATCTCCTTTTCTTTCTTATAAGTGCGCACTTGCTTTGTAAGTGATCTGAAACGTGGATTAAAAATCCAAGCAGCAAAATTTAATATTGATGGGAATACTGAGGTAAGTTAAAAATAAATGTATATTCTTTTTTTCAGAGGTTATAACCTATGTATTTATGCTTATGATATTTATATTTCAGCGTCCCTCACCACCCCCAAATGTTGACTACCCATTAGATGGAGAGAAGATTTTACATGTTCTTGGATCAATCAGGTAGACCTTAATTTTTATGAGCAAAATAATGAACTAAAATGAATTTTTGGCTTTTAAAAATATATAAGCCTTTAATATTGCTGATTTAACAATTTTATGTGTTTTTCAGTACGCCTCCCTGTTCATGATTAATTTTATTCAGCTTCTTAATTTTGAAAAGTTTTATTTTGTAAAATTTTTAAAATTATATAAAAATATTTAAATTAAAAAAAATTTTTTTCCTGCTCTTCATAGTAATTTAGAAGTAATGGAACTATTCTTCAAGGTAGAGAATAAAGTACAATACTTTAAAACAGGGTTCAGCAAACCTTTTTTGTAAAGAGGTTTGTGAGCCATATGGTCTCTGTTGCAAGTACTCAAGTCTACAATTTGGAATGCAAAATCAGCCACAAGACAATATGTAAATGAATGAGCATGGCTGTGTTCCAATTTACAAAGATAAGTGGGCTGGATTTGGCTTACAGGCCATAGTTTGCTGGCACCTGCTTTGAAACGTCATGTTAGAAGGAATGCGTTCTTCCAAATATGCTAAATCTTAAGGACCAGTTAGTAATTCACTTTTTCATTTTCTTTATTCTATCCAATGATGCTATATAAGTTACAGACTTACATAATTATATTGGTAACAATAGCATTTTCTTTATATACAAGCTTTATAATATTTGTATGTGCAGGGGCACCTGGGTGGCTCAGTTGGTTGAGCATCTGACTCTTGATTTCAGCTCAGGTCATGATCCCAGGGTCATGGGATCGAGCCCTGCATTGGGCTCTGCACGGAGTGTGGAGCTTGCTTGGGATTTTCTCTCTCTCTCCCTTTGCCCCTCTCTCCTGGTCACACGTGCACTTTCTCTAAAATAACAGTAAAAATAAAGAGTTTGTAGCTCTTATAAAAAAAATAAAAAATAAAATTTGTATTTATAAGTTTCATTTGTAAAATATTAGAAGATGCCACAGAAAAGAATTATGTAGATATTGAAGATCTGAGGTAATACAGAGGTTGAGATCTATAAGGGTGAACATGAATACACAGATGTTACAGATGGTAGGGTAGGAGAACAACAGAGTGAGAATGTAATACTTTTTGGTAGTAGCTTTTATCATTTTACCTCTTCTTTAGGTTATACTCCTTAAATTACTGTTTTAAATTTTCTCCAGGTTGTATAGTAGAGCCCAAAATACAAGAAGAAAATAAATGTTGAAGGAGATGAATATGCAACTTTTTGGTTCATAATAGCTTTTTGGTTATTTGGGAATAAAAAAAAACACTGTGTCTCACATTTCAGACCCAATGGATTTACAGTTGTCTGCTCATATGTTTTTTTCCTATTAAAAATCGAGTTCCATTGAAACATAATTAGACACGGTTCAGACCACACACACAGTTTGTAAGTCAGAAGGGTCATTTGAATTTTTAAGTGCAGTGAGAACTTAAAGTTATTTGTGTATCCATCTTGGTACAGAATTCCTATTGGTGGTTTTTTTAGACTTTCATAGTTGGATTACCTGTATTAAAAAGATTTTAAAAATGATTGTCTTTTCGAAGCATTCAACAGTTCACATAGAAAAACAACTTATTTTCTACCCCTAGTATTTTGTGGGTTAAGTAACAGTAAAATTGCATAATTTCAATATCAAATCTATTGGCAATAAAAGACTTGGAACAAGGAAACTATTGTTCCGTAAGCATTCAACTCAACTGGTGGAAGTGGAATTATGCAGGCATTACAGCAGGTGGCTGACCACCTACGAGTGTTCAGCATACTGCAGGCCTCAGTAACCTTACTGATGACATGAGGAGCTAGTGAGTGGGTGGAGTTGCATGAAGAGAATTTTATGTTTTGAAGAAGATTCAAGAAAGCTTCAGAGTGGTGTGCATAGTCTGATCTAAATCTTATTTTTAAGAAATAGTGTTTATATATGCGTATGCGTAGGTAGTTTTGTATTGCATTGCTCAGGATTTAGTTTGGCCACCAGTGACACAAACCTGACAATAGTGGCTTCACCAAGATAGGAGTTTGTCTCTTTTCAGCTTTGTTTGTTTGTTTGTTTGTTTGTTTTTGAGAGGGAGGGAAGGAAGGGGGAGGTGAGCTGGGCAGGGGCAGAGGGAGGGAGGGAGAGAATCCCAAGCCGACTCCATGCTATCAGCACAGAGCTCCACACGGGGCTTGAACTCATGAACTGTGAGATCATGACTGGAGCGGACATCAATAGTCGGTGCTTTGCCAACTGAGCCCCTCGGGCGCCCCGTCTCTCTCTTTTAAAAGAAGCTCAGAGGTAGATAGTCCAGGAATGGTATGGCAGCTCCCACCAGGGACCCAAACATCCTTCATCTTTCATCCTTTTGGGGGTAGTCCTGTCCTTAGATACCAGGGTGGTCGATACAGTTAAAGCTACTATATCTGTGTTTAAAGCAAGCAGCCCTAGGAAGGGAAAGAAAAAAGTGCTCCTGTCCTTTTTAAGGAGATGTCTTTCAGAAGTCCCAAATGCTGCTTCTGCCTCCATCTCCTCTGTTCCTTAGCTACACATCTAACTACAAGGGAGGCAGGTAAATACAGTGTTTCAACTGGAGGAGGGCATTATATCCAGCTTAAAAATGGAGCTCTTTTTTTTCAAGTTACAGGATTTACAGGATATTGCAAAGATGATATAGGAAAGCCTCATGTACTCTTCACGCAGTTTCCCCCAATGGTTACACCTTACTTAACTGTAGCACAATAGCAAAACCAGTAAATTTGGCATCAGTGTAACATGTATATATAGTTCGTATCATTTTATCACACGTAGATTTCTGTAATCACACCACGATTAAGATATAGAACTATTCCATCACCACAAAGACCTTCCTTGTGCTATCCCAAAATGGGTTCTTTTGAGAACAAATAGGAAAATGGAAAATGGGTATTTTATTAGGCAACTAGCAGTCTTTGCCATACGTTATTTTTAAAAACAAGAGAAATGCTTGGGGAGGGGATTGTTTTTAAATCTTTTGTATCACTACAGATCTTTTTTTTTTTTTAATGTTTACTTTTATTTTTGAGAGAGAGAGAGTGCACACAAGCAGGGGAGGGACAGAGAGTGAGGGGATCAGAGGATCTGAAGCAGGCTCTGTGCTGACGAAGTCTGATCTCGAGGAGAAACCGAACTCATGAACTGTGAGATATGACCTGGCGGATTGAATGTAACCCCCAGAAGAAGCTAAGCCACCCCGGCGCCCCCAGATCTGTTTCGTGAATCTTAACTAGCTTTTATAGAATCACTTATTTTCTGTTATTAGGCTTAAGGAAGTATAACTGGACAAAATGTCTGTTAATCTGTACATAATAATAGTTATAGTTAATACATAAGGAGAGCCTCCTGTGTACCAGGCACTGTTCTATTGATTCATTGAATCCTCACCTCAAACACCTGTGAGGCAGGTGCTGGTCTCCTCATTTACGGAAGAGTAAACACCTCTCATCCGAGAGCCTGGGTGGCATGATGGATTCATGATCCGACTTCAGCCAGGTCCACCCGATCTCATGATCCGTGGTTCGAGCCCAGCGTCAGGCTCTGAGCTGATGGCTCCAGAGCCTGAGCCTATTTCCGAGTGTGTAATGCTCCCTCTCTCTCTGCCCCTCCCCCGTTCATGCTCTGTGGCTGGCTGTCTCTCTCTGTCCCAAAAATAAATAAACGTTGAGAAAAAAAAAAAAAACAAATGCAAACACCTCGTGTTTTAATTTTTTTTTAATGTTTATTTTTGAGAGGGAGAGACAGAGTGCAAAGTGAGAGGAGGCAGAGAGGAGGAGGCTTGCCAGAATCGAGCAAGCTCAGGCTCTGAGCTAATTAACCTGAAACTGAAACTGTGAAGACTCACGACTTCTTTAATCAGATCATGACCTGAGCAGTCGGGCGTCGCTTAACTTGACTGAGGAAACCACCATGTTATAAACTTTTCTCTGTTTTCATAATTATTCTATGTTAACATAGTACTGGTACTTAAAAAATAGAACCGATGATATATTTTCTATCATATGATGCCAACAAAGCACTCTCTGTTTTTAATCTCACTAGAGATTCGGTTGTGGAAATTCTTTTTGAACAAGATAATGAAGAGAAATCAGTTGCCACTTTAATACTGGATTCTCTTATACAGGTATTTTGATTTTGCAAAAAGTTTCCATTTTAACTACAGCCCTTTAGAGAAACTGATGTTTTTGAGTAATCTCTCCACCCAACGTGGGCTTTGCATTGACACTTTCGAGATCCAGAGCCACATGCTGTACGGACTGAGCCAGCCAGGTGCCCTGAGGAAATTTTTACATGTTATCTTCTGTATTTTTATTTTAGCTGCTGGTTACAATGTTAGCTTTTCTGCTAAATGTTACAGTTTCAGAGTTTGACTTTGGCACTGAAAGATGGTACTTAACAACATTTCAAACTCAGGGATAATAAGTGCTATTGTGTATTTTTTCCCTAGCAACAATATCAGATTTTTATTTTGTACCTGGTACAGCTTGTAGTTTCTTTAAGTGCAGGTTTGGGTAGTATTGAATTTTAAATTCCATAGGGTATATGATAATGTCTTCTTTGTTTAATGACTGGAATCACAGAATTCCATGTGAAATACCATTGATTTGGAAGATACTGTCTACCTCTGGGGCTCTGCTCAGAGACTTTTATGAAAAACGTAGCATCAGTGAAAGACTTTAACATTCTAATTCTTAGAACTGATGTGGAAACAGTTTTTCTAAGTATGTTTTCTTCCCACTTGACAACTGGCTCTGGATATAATACTGTGAAGTTATCACATACTTTCTTTACTAAAAAAAGTAATGAAGTTCTTTTATTTCTTCTCCTATTTTTTGCTCGACTCAGTCATTCTGTCTTGAAAATGAGATTACTCACATATAACTACCGTGTGTCCTGTGGAACTTTAAATTCTAAACTGTTAGATTTTAAAATCTTTCAAGTTCCATGTAAGTATATAGCAATATTTTCATGGTTATATTTGCTACATGAAAAACTCCCTTGTTAAAGAAACCTTGATGTGCGTTTTTTCTGTGGTAATAGTACTGATCACCTATTTAATTTGTAACGCATAATCTGTATATTTTCTTTAATCCAGTCAAGCATTATTTATACAGCTAAGGATAAATTCTTTTTTTTCTTTCTCTTTAATAACAGTGCCCAATAGACACCAGAAAGCAGCTCGCAGAGAATTTGGTAGTCATAGGTGGCACGTCGATGTTGCCAGGATTTCTCCACAGATTGCTGGCGGAAATAAGGTATTTGGTAGAAAAACCAAAATATAAAAAAGTACTCGGCACCAAGACATTCCGAATCCATACTCCACCCGCAAAGGCCAATTGTGTGGCGTGGTTGGGAGGTAAGAATTTAGTTTTTACAATATAGATGATTATATAGTGATTGGTTCCTGAATGGTATATTAATGGCTGTAATAGATTCAGTGTTAAAAATCATTCACGTAACAAACTAATAGAACTATTAAATAATTTTCTTTGAACATTGACTTTTCCTTGAAGTGTTAATTTTCAGAGTTATATCCCTATTTCTCTTGGCGTTTGCACTTTAATTTTTTAAATAAACTTCATCCAATGAAAATCATTTCTCATAATAGTGATAGCTGTGCCTTTATTCCAGTGCTGCTACCATTGCTCAAGACATTTGTTTTAGTTCCTTCTAAAGCTAACCTGTGAGTCATATATGAGAATTGATCTCTTTATTTTATAATTACACTTTATTTTGTGACTGAGTTCATTGAATGATAGTTCATAGGAAATGATAGTTTTGTTGAAATCAGGAAATAGCCTAGAGCTAGTATATACATATGTACTTTGAAGAGAAAAACAAGCATGGATGTGTATACCTGTATAATTCTGCTATGTGTTTTATGATGCATTTACAGCTAATAGGTATCTTGATCATGAGAAAAAGTATTGAGATTTTATTATTTATTTATTTATTTTTAATGTTTATTAATTTTTGAGAGAGAGAGAGAGAGAGAGAACAGGGGAGGAGCAGAGAGATAGGAAGACAGAATCAGAAGCAGGCTCCAGGCTCCGAGCTGTCAGCACAGAGCCCGACGCGAGGCTCGAACTCACAAGCCGTGAGATCATGACCTGAGCCGAAGCCGGATGCTTAACTGACTGAGCCACCCAGGTGCCCCTAAAAGTATTGAGATTTTAAATGAATGTTGTATTTCTTGTAAAGTAAAATTCGGTCAAAATGTAATTTTGGTCTAGGACAAATAGATTTAGTTACTGCATTATTTTTTATTTATTTTCTTTAAAAAATTGTTTTTAATGTTTTTTTTTATTTTTGAGAGAAGGAGAGAGACAGAGCATGAGTAAGGGAAGGGCAGAGAGAGAGGAAGATACAGGATCTAAAACGGGCTCCGGGCTCTGAGCTGTCAGCACAGAGCCCAACATGGGGCTTGAACTCACAGACCTTGAGATCAAAGTCTGACACTTAACCTACTGATGCACCCAGGCGCCCCAGTTACTGCATTATTTTTTAAAGACCACCTTGTGGGTCTTTATAAAGTCTTTAGCAGAGACTTGGGTGGCATTATAATGATGATTATTAACGTTTTACAGTGCTGTTTTATTTATTGACATACAATCTTGGAATTGTGGCAAAGAAAACTAAAAGTATTATTTACTGTTTTTACACAGAATTAAAAATACTTTCCACTCCACTCTACCTCACCTGCTTTTAGACACAGTTAATGCTTGGTAGCATTTTCACTGTAGTCTGCTATAGGCCATTTAAGTCACTTTCAACACAGGAATTGTGGCTTACCCTGTTATTCAAAAATATGGGATACAAAACAGCTGCAATTAATTTGAAGAGTGACTATGCATTGCTGAATTTCACCACTTCTCTCGTCAAATAATGAGTTGGACGTGTGTGTACATAAAATTTTCTAGTACAAGTTTACATCTTAAATAAAATTTTTTTTTTCATTTTTTTGTTTTGTTTTTTTAACCACACAGGAGCTATTTTTGGTGCACTACAAGACATACTTGGGAGCCGTTCAGTCTCAAAGGAATATTATAATCAGACAGGCCGTATACCTGATTGGTGTTCTCTTAACAACCCTCCGTTGGAGATGATGTTTGATGTCGGAAAAGCTCAGCCACCTCTGATGAAGAGAGCATTTTCCACTGAGAAATAAAAGTTTGATTAAAATTCAGCTTTGCTTCATATCAAGTATCTAATCGATTATAAGCAAATGGTACAAAGTATATAGGATGCTCTTAGAGATGACTTTATGGCAATGAAAACATTTCTGTAATGACTTTTTGCATTGAGATTCTTTTGACTTTTGTTTTTCTTGTGTAGTGGTAAAATGGTAGCTGATGCTTAATGAAATTTGTTGTATTTATATCAATAAAATATAGTAAAGCGGTTTAATTTTGGAAGTTTGTTACACAGTTTAATTTCAAAAGGAATATAACATTTTCCCTCCACAATTCACATAATCTGAGCTGAGCATTGGAAAGTTCATTAATTTCATTATTTTCAGCAATTATTTCAAGAATAAATAATATTACCATTACCAGGTATTTCAAATATTAACCTGGGTCTATTCAGATTCTTTTGTTTTGGTATTTATGTGTCCATGTTACAATGCTGCTTTTGCAGGAATATATTTGACTCTTTGGACTGAGAATGTTTAGTAACATAGTTAAAACATTGGTTAAGCAACATGTGCAGATGTTTACTTTTTAACTTTACAGTTTCTTTATGAACAATTCTACATTTCTAAGGAGAAAGATACTTCATTTTTATGCAAAGACATTCCATTTTATGTATTTTTATGTAAGTGCTTTATAAACGTGAAATTCATAATGTTTTAATCTCTTGTGCTTTTTGTTTTCTCAGGATAGGGGTGCTTGCAAATACGTATTGAGTCATTGTTTAATTTTTATCTTTGTTCATCTTCATTTGTCTTTAACAAACTACTTCTTACTGAAATTTTTGTTTTATTCTTTCCACGTGCCTGTGAAAATACGTATACACCTATTTCTGAAGAATGTACTCATATTTCTTAAGCCAGAGTAGGAGTTGATACATTTCCTGGTCTACATATCCCATGTCCATTCTTACTCATAGTTTAATCATTTTGATTGTCCTTTTCTGGGTGCTTCCTAGTTTTGCCATATGCTTTTTGTGTGAAGGTACCAGCTCCAGCTGATACTTGAAAGAGCTGGTTCCTGGCATGAAGAATAGGAAAGTGTGTGTGTGTGTGTGTGTGTGTGTGTGTGTGTGTGTGTGTGTGTGTGTGTGTTTTAAAAATACTTCTAGCTATACTTCATCACCACAAGACTAGTAGCACAAGACTAAGTAGCACAAGACTAAGATTCGTTCAGTATTTATTGGTCTGTCCACTTTGCATCTAGTGGTTTTAGACACTGTAAATGCTGCAATAATGAGACCTGAGCCTTTGCCCTTAGGAGGTTGTCAGGTTAGTAGAAGTGGATGGTGCAAACTGATGACAGAATGTGGTAGCAGCCATAAGGGTATTGGCTTCTTGTTACTGATGTAGATGATCCTGACCAGAGAGTTGAAGAAAGCTTCATAGAGGAGGCTGTTGCCCTTGTTCCTGAAGGATGAATAGAATTTTAACTGGAGTTTAATTCTAGTCTATGTGAACTGAATTCTCTACACAAAGTCTTAAAACATTTGGCGTGGAGATGAGGCATTGCTAATTATAATTTAGGATGAGGTCATGAAGAACTTGAAAACCATATTAAAAGCAGCAAATAAAACTATGAAAGATCAATTTTGCCGTCCAGTTTCCTAATGGATTCATTCTGAAAAGTGAGATTCTTTTATCCTCTGGATCTGCCACTCTTCCACAGCACCCTTTCCCCAAAAGTAGTCATCTTCCCCAGAAGCACATCTCTGGAATATAAACTTCATGAGACAAAGCCCCTTTATTTCTTAGCTTTGAAACCTCTCCGTGGGATTGCCAGGAGTAGGTATACCATTAGTTGTTAATAGTATGGATTCGCTGTTGATTATTTTAAGTTTCTTTTTTTTTAACAAGACAGTGAGAGGGAGGGCAGGGCAGAGAGACAGAGGGAGAGAAAATCCCAAGCAGGCTCCATGCTGACAGTGCAGAACCCAATGCGGGGCTTGGACCCACAAACTGCAAGATGGTGACCTGAGCCGAAATCAAGAATCGGACGCTCAGCTGACTGAGCCACCCACGTGCCCCATGGATTCACTACTGTATTAACATTATCTTTTTTGTAGTAAACTTAATTTTTAAAATTTTATTGAATTTGAGTTATTTACGAGAAGTTTCAACACTGAATAATATGAAAAATAAGATCTCTGAAATAGAGCTTTATAGGTATCTGGCTATAAAGTGATAGACACCTACCAGTTGAGTTTAAAGAATGGAGCCCCCTGTTAGGTGTTGAATTGTGTGCCGCAGAAAAGTAACGTTGAAGTCCTAACCTCCAGTATCTCTGAATATGATGACCTTACTTGGAAACAGAGTCTTTACAGATGCAATCAAATTAAGATGTCATTTTGGTAGACGCCAATCCCATATGACTGGTATCCTTATAAGACGAGGGAAATGCCATGAGACAGATACACAAGGAGAAAACAGGTATTAACCAAGGCAGAAATTGGAGCTCCGCCCCTACAAGTCCAGGACCACCAGGGGTTGCTGGTGACACCAGAAAGCTAGGAGAAAGAAGCCTACAGCAGGTTCATTTCCGTTTTAAGCCACCAGTTGTGATAGTTGGGGATGGCAGCCCTAGGAAATGAATACACCCTACTTAATTCAGCAGTTCAGCATATATTTATTGAACATCTGCCGGAAGCTAATTTAGGCGCTTGAGTTACATTAGTGAGCAAAGACAAAAAGCTGTCGTTCCAAGGGGTAGAGAAAGTAAAGAATCAGATACTGACACAGTAAGTTAGAAGATAAGAGCAGTTATGGGGAAAACAGTGTAGGGTAAAGTGGGTGGTGGGCTAGTTGCCGATGAGAACAGTGGTTGGGCTCATTTATTATTTGAAGAGAGAAATTAGGCAAGTGTAAATTTATATTAGGCCTCTGCCCATGGTTGCTGACACAGAGATCCTAAAACCCTTGTAATTTCCTGTGTGATGAGGGTGTTAGGAGCATTACACCAAATGCCTAAGAATTTCTTTGGTTAATAGGAGTGTCTTTTTTTCCTAATGAGGCAATTCTTGGAGGGCTCCGGGATCACTTCAGGATGAGGGCTGGTCACCAGAAAACTCCAAGCCATGATTAGAAGCTTAGAATTTTCACATTCACATGCAAATACATCATGTCTTCTAGGGAGAGGAGAGGGACAGGAAATCATGCCTACCTCATGAACTCACTCTCCAACTGGAAACAGCAAACATCCTCTTGCCACCTGAGTGACTTTGTCAATTTCAGCTTTTATCTCTCCTGTGGTCTGCTTTCCCTATAGATAGGTTTTATTAACAACATAGAATTGCCCTTGAGAACACCCAATCCAGAAGGGGCCCTCACTTGTTAGGACTCCCCACCCCTGCAATATTACCCAAGTAAAGCCCAGATCCTATAATAGGTTCTTTCTAATACCCTCTTAACAGACACCCCGCATCCCTCCATGCAATGTGTATGAAGCCAAATATTATTTATTTTGTTTATTATTATTATTATGATTATTTTTTTTGAAGGGGATTGTCAGCATTAAGAGATGGGAGAAGAAGGGTGAGCACGGAAGACTGCAGAGAAATAGAACGGTAACCTGCGGGAAAATTAGGTCAGTTTTTACTCTGTTTTAAGATAAAGAAATAACAGCACGTTTGTTTGTTGGGGGGGGG